GCCTCCCAGCACATCCACAGAGGGGCTGCGGGCAGAGAGGTGTGATGACTTTTCCAGAGTGGCTGGGAAAATGAGGAAACAGAGCAGGAATATTCCTCATGACAGCAGTGCCACCCTCACCAGTGATCCCAGCGTCAGGGCAGGGATCCTGGGATCACCAGGGATCACCAGCATCCCAGCCAGCAGCCTCCTCACACATCCCACATTCCACCCTGCATCCAGCTGATTTCCCAGAAACAGCCCATTGCATGGCAGGGTCTCCATGCACATCAGTCACTCAGGAGAGGTCCAGCACAGCCTTTCCCTCCTGGATCAGGGCCCAGGGAGAGCAGGGCTGAAGCATCCCTGGGACAGGAAGAGCTGACTTGAGGCTGGCCAGGCCCCCAGCTCTGCTGCAGGGTGTTGGCACTCAGGTAAGGCTGACCCTCCTCCTGCTCCTTTCCAACCCTGCTCACGGGAGACACTTTGCCTGGGAGGGAAAGACTCATCCAAGGTCACTCAGAAGGTCAGTGGCAAGGAGAACACAAGCCAGAGCTGCTGAGGTCCCTGTCCTTTCCAGACAAGGGCCTTGCAAGCCCCCCAGGCTGTTTTGCTCCATGCAGGTGTCATCTGTTCCCTCCAGCTCCCTCTGCCTCCACGGACGCCCTTTGGTGTTTTTCCTTTGCATGACATCACCCAGCTCCTGATCTGCTGCCAGCTCTCTGCTTCCAGAGAGGACCCTTTGCTGGCTGGGACGGAGAAATTCGGACACCTCTGCAGTCCTGCCCAGCTCTGCTCTGCCCTGGCAACATCCACATCCCAAGGGGGTAGGGCCAGAGCCTGCTTTGCAAGGAGGACCCACCGCGGTGATTTGGACAGCCTGGATGCTCCACATGCTGAGGACAGAGAGTGCCAACTCCCCCAGGGATCTGCTCCAGCAGCCACATTCCTGCACGGCGTCAACAGGAGCCAGCAGGAGTGTAAATGTGGCTGTCACCCCTCCCTCCCGCAGCCAGGAGGCAGATGTTAGGAGAGGAACAGTCCCTGTCACACCCTGCCTGGCTGTGCAGGCTCAGCACCAGCAGCAGGTGCCAGGGCCAGCCCAGTCTCTCTCTGCTGACGTCCTCGCTCCATGCACCACCATCCCTACACCAGCTTCTCTTCCCAAGCAACTGGCAGGACTGTTTTCCCAGTGAACAGCTGTGGATGCTCCCTGCTGGCCCCAGGGGTGTTGGCAGCCCTGCCCTCCTTGGCTCTGTGGCTCTTGGTGGAGCAGCCCCACGGGTCCAGCCCGGTGGTGACAGCCCACCCGCACGAGGAGAACATCTGCCACCCCTCCCAGCCCATGGGAACACCCATCCCAGCCATCAGAGCAGGAACACTCCCGTGGCAAAGGCACAGCCCAGCCCAGGCTCGCTCAAACTGGAAATAGTGGCTCAGTGGACATTGTCACTCAAAAGACTGCAAACATGGGCCAGCCTCGGCCACGTGTCTGTGCACTGGGCAGGGGAGCAGGGCAGCAAGTGCAGCCCCAGGCAGCTTTACCCCAGCACCCCACACCCCCGGGCTCCAGTCCCTGCAGCCTCCAACAATCACTGAAACTTCACACGGCACAGGTGTCACCAGCTCCCTCTTGGTTCTCCACAAAGAACAGCCACAGCTCCCATCCAACATCACAGACCCAAAAAGCACCTCCCAGGGCCCAGTGAGGTCACTGTTGCCCCATCAAATCGCTCCCCTGCTTCTGGCATAAAGTGATGAGCAACAGCTTCAGCCCCCAACAGCCCCAGTGGTCCTGATTCCATGGGGATGGACATGACAAAGGTTGGGATCAGCCCCAGCAGTGCCAAGTGTTCAGCCTCCAGCAGCACCTGAAGATGGGGCTGGTTTTCTTCCGCAAATATTTTTACCCTAATGACACTCTCCAGCCACTGTGAACACACAGAGTGCTCATGAATGTGGAAAAAAACCATATAGCATTTCTTCCACTTATCCTGGGACCTCCTTCCTGGTCAGTGCCCCATGGAAAGGAGGACAGAGTCCAGGGAAAGGCACATCACTGCCCATGAGGACAGACCCCAGCACAGCCTCCATGAGCCCTTTGAGGAGGCAGCCAGAGCAGACAATGACCCCAGAGCCCCCAAAACATGGACAGAGCCTGGGGCACCCCTGGATACAACTCGTTGCTACCTGCCAGCCTCCCATCACAGACCAACACCATGTCCCAGCACCCCTCCTCAGGGAGCAGAAAGCGTGGACAGGAACAAGTGACTCCTCAGCAGGAACTGCAAACACAGCCAGGCCCCATCCCACTGCCAGGGGAGAGGGGATCCAGGCTGTGGATGCTGCAATGGCAGCCTGGCAGAGCACAGAGCCCCACATCCCCTGGCACGTGGGACACACACAGAGCCAGCCCTCTCTGCCCACAGCCACCCCCAGCCCAGAACAGCTCCCAGCCCCTCACAGGGACAGGAGCTCAGTGCAGATTCCAGTTCCTCCTGGAGAGCACATCCTGCTGTACACTGGATGCCCAGTGCCAGGTCTACAGTCCACCCTGGGACATGGCAGACCATTCCTGGGGAAGGGGTCCCCTCTGACACCCCAAGGAAGGGTGCAACCAGGGGAGGAGAGTGGAAGGAAAGCATTTCTGAATGAGTTATTTGGTCTGACTGACACCACGACCCAGGCCAGGGCAGGAGGGAAAACCTTAATTGCAGCAGCTCAGCCCACTGCACATCAATCTTCATTTGTTCCAATTCCTCCTTCCCTTCCATTTCTGCAACATTTACTTATTTCCCCCATTCCTCCCTGCAACACACTGAACTGCAGCCAGCTCCCTCCTCCAAGGACTCCCTTTGGTTATTGGCAAATTAAGTTCTTCATCAAGCCCCGGTACTGGCGCTGACAACGCGCTCCAGGACACAGCCCTGCCTGGTGCGAGGCAGAGCTGCTGACGGCTCCCTGCGCCCAGGGCCTGTGCCCAGAGCACTTGGAGAGCTGACAGCAAGGACAAGGCACATCCAGCACCACCTGCCTTCAAATCAGAGGACCCAAAACACTGGCGTTGGGGCAGCAGGTCACAGGGAGCGAGAGGGGATCACACCCCAAACCTGAACACGAGGCCACACGAGGTCCCACAGCTCAGGGGTGCTTCTCCTACATCGGGGCAGGAGCACGTGGGAGCCAATGTTCAGGAGCAGGGACTGGTGTGATGTCTCTCTTGGCAAGAGCCACTGCTTCTACATACCTGAGGCAACTGGTAAACTTTGCTTGTTGCCTCCTCTCAGGTCCACGCTCGACGATTTGGAAGCTGTTTTGGGCACTTTCGAAGAAATGACCTAACGACATCTGGGGAGAGTGCCATGGCTAATTTATCTGCCTCCACAGCATCTCTGCAGACAGAGGGTTAGAGTCCCCCTGCCACCTTCTCAGGCTTGGGCAGGACACTCTGCCAAACCACCAGTGAGACCTGACACTCCTCAGCCCCTCCAGACAACATTAAAGTCTGTTGCCAGCAGCCACTTTTCACCACCACTGAACCAAGCTGTGACGAGCAAAAAGAAAAACCGATGGAAGAGGTGGAGGAAAAAACCTAAACTAGCAAAAAACATCAAGAGGACTCCAAAAAAATCAGCTAAGAGAAAGCTAATCCTTGCCAAAAACAAGCCAAAGACGCTGTGGATGTTTCTTGCCCCCAGTCTTCCCAATTGACCTTAACAGGGAGACGCCTGAGGTGCCCAAGGAGCACCAGGTATTTAGGGTCTGTTACTGTATCATCCAGGGCCCGGCTGAATTTGGCCCTGGAGGTGCTGCCTGTACCTTTCTCTGCTGTTCTGCCACGGGAGTCTGGGGAGAAAGGTACCGATCACCTTCGGTGCCTGAAGCAGAAGTGGAAGGGCAAAGCAGCTTCTCTTCATTAAGCGAAGCACATCCCAGCTCCAGCTCAGCTCCCACACCAGGGACACCAGAGGGATGTGACGCCTGGGAGACAGGATGCAGCTGGTTCCAGAGGCAGCTCAAAGAGGAGTAAAGCTCAATTTAAACGTTGGATGTGACAAGGGAGGGCTCCCCCAGCATGTCCTTTAGCTGGCACAGCCTCACGCTGCTTCACTCCCCCACAGACAAGAAACTCTCCTGCAGGCTGTGAGTAACCAGGCACAGGAGGGGAGCGAGGCCTCCAGGAGTGCTGGACAAGGATCACTGACAGCAGTCCCACAAGGAAGGGAGAAATTCATCTCCCCAAAACTCAGCCCCCGGGCCCGAACACAGGGAGCAGCCAGATCCCAGCTCCGAGCTGAGCGCTTCAGTGATCACACACGACGTAAGAGCGACGTCGTTTGGGAGAATTCAGCATTCCCAACAGCCATGGGGAGAGCCAGGGATTTGTCCAGTCATAAACTTGTGCACAGCAAAGGCATGACTCCTGGTACAGCATCCACCTGGCTCACAGAACGCTCCACAAAACCACAGCCCAGCCTCCTCGGGGTGCTGTGTCCAGCAGCATCACAACTCTCCGAAGGAAAAGCCACAGGGAATTAAAATCCGAACAAAGATTGCAAAGCCTCAAAGTGACACTGTCCTACACAGCCACACTCCGGCCTGGGCAGGGATCCTCTCTGTTCTCCAAACCCCATTTCGTTTAAGCCACACGACTGCAAGACCCAGAGCACAAACAGGCTGAGGACCATCACAACCCAGGGACAACAAAGGCAAAATGACAGACGTTCGAACCGAAGTTACTCACTTTGGCAGGGCTCGCGGGTGCACCTACACAAACACGCACACAAAGGAGAATGGACTTCCAAGCCCACAGAAAACTCTTCTTCCGGAAAAAAACCAAATCCCCCCCTCCCTGTGTTCATGCAGGAGCCGGTGAGGAAGGTGAGACACAGCCAGAATGCAAAGATGGTAGCCCGGCCAGCAGCGCCCCGGCCACCACCTCCCCTGTGCCTCCCCAGTGAGGCAAGGTGGGAAGGGGCTGGGGGGGCAGGGGGGGGAAGATCCTCTGCAGGTGAACTTACCTTCCACAGTTGCAGTGACAAACTCGGTCTTCCCCTCTCAGATGCGGTAAGATGTAATTGTGAAATCTGTCCAACAACGCATTCATGTCCATCAAGCAAGCTATTGCCTGTAAGAGCCCACAACCAAGGCATCTGGTCAACTCTGGATGATGGAATAAAACATTGACTCTAGTTTGATTGCCAAAGACTGAAGCAGTCATAAAGAAAATAATCTTTGGT